GGCCATCTGTGCAGCCACGGCATCTGCTCGTGGGTGGGCTGTGCTCAGCCACCAGGACCCACCTGAGCAGGGAGCAGTGGGGGGAGAGTGCCTTTGCCCTCTGCATCCCGCCTGCATCCCTGGGCTGCAAGCTGCGCACCTTGGGCTAGCCCTGTCTCTTGGGATTGGGCCAGCTCCAGCACTGGCTCCTCCTCAAGGCCGAGGGACAGGGCTGTCGTGGAGGTGAAGGGGAAGGAGCTGCTGCGGCTGGGCCAGAGGTGCTGGGCCGGTGCAGCCCCACACCCTGGCTGGGCAGCCCTGGGCAGAGAGTATGGGTGGTCATGGCCAGGTGGAGACTGGTGACAGAGAGAAGGCTGAGGCAGCAGGGCTCTGCCCAGGGCTGGAGCTGCCTCTGTGCTTCCCACCCTGCCAGGAGTGTGGTCCTGTGCTGCAGAGCAATTTGCAAATGGGCTGGGCCTGTGCTGCTCCCTCAGGTGTTCACAGAGCTCGGGGTGGAGCAGACTCTGCTGAGCAGATGTGCTGGGGTGAAGGAGCACTCGGAGCCAGGCAAGGGGAGCAGGACAGCCTCCTGCAGCCCCAGCCTCAGCAACACAGCTCTGCCAGCACCAGCAAGGAACTGCCAGAGCCCACAGCACTCTGGAGATGCAGGGTCCTGGGGTCCTGGCTCCAGCAGGCACAGCAGGGGCTGTGGGCCACCAGCAGGGCTGGTGGAAGGAGGTCAGAGCCCTCCAGGGCAAAGAGCCAAGGCCTGCAAGGTGAGGGCCTAGGAGCATCAGCGCTGCAGAGCAGCTGGCCCCGTACCAGGAGAAAGTAAACAATTAATTACAGCCGTCAAGAAGTAACTAACGCCAGCGGGCTGTCATGATCTCAGCCTGCTCCAGAGGAGATGCTAGGAGCTGCAGCCAGCCCCAGCTCTGGTATCCACCTGGATTAAGTGAGAGAAGGGTGTAGGAGGGGGCTGTGAGATGATCTGGGCGGTCAGAGCAGGGTTCCTGTCAGCAGCACCAATCCTGAAGGCACCCCTGAGCCCCACTGCTCCGCTGAGAGGTAAAGAGGCACAGCAGGAGGCAGCAGGGACCCGGGCAGAGCTGACTGTGGTGGGATCAGCCCATTCTCAGCCCTTCTCCAGAGTCAACCCCTGGCTGAGTCCCCAGCCCCTTGTCTGCAGCGTTGGGGCTCGGAGGGAGGGGACTGCCTGCAGGGAGCCCTTGAGGCTCAGCCTGCTGAGGTATTGCTCAATGAGGCATAACCCCAGGGCTCTTTGGAGATCTCCCTGGGAAAGGTTCAGTCCTGAGCTTGCTCCTGCCTGTGAGCAGCTTTCCCTGCTCTGCATAGCTGCTGCAGCCCAACTGAGGTCAGAGAGGTGTTAGCAGTGCCTTTGCCAGACCCCTGGCCCTGCTCCTGGGCCGTCTGGTCATCCCTCTGTCTGTCTGTGGTGCACCCAGACAATGGCATCCCTCCAGGTACAGCCGGGGCTGCTGCGGGCCAGTCTTGCTGTTGGGGCAGGAGGGTTTGGCCCCCCAGTGCCAGCCCATCCTGGCTGCAGAATGGTCCTTGGAGCAGCTGGCACTGACCTGCCCCGGCATCTCACAGGAGCTCCCCACTCTTTCTGCCTGCCAGCTTCGAGCCTGGCAGGGGCTAGGGCCTTCCTTGGGGGCAGGAGATTGCTCTGGCCCCGAGGCTTCAGAGGGTCTCTTGGAGACACATCAGTCCCATGCTGGAGCAGGGCCTGCTCCACTGTACCCACCCCCTCCGAGCTAGGGTCCCTTGGTCCCTTGGGCTCTGCCACAGGCTAATTGAGGGATGTGTCGTGGCGGTCCTGCCTGCACCAGCTGGGAGGGGGGACCTGCAGCCACTGAAGTGCCCTATTTCCTCCCCCAGCCCTGGCTCGGTGAGGCAGAGCAGCACTGCCCAGGGAGGTGGCGTATGGCTCTGCTACAGTTCCTTCCCCCTCCCTCTCCTCTGCCTTCTACTGCTTCCCTCCCCAAAAACCCGACAGAGGATAATGCCTCCTGAATACATGATGAAGTGAGTAGTCAGGCTGGGCTCTGCCACTGCTGCTGGGAGTGAGTGAGTGTGTGAGTCTGTGCATTGAGGCATCTCTGCACTGCAGCCTCCTCCTACATCCAGCCAGAGAGAAAGAGAAAGGCACGGAGGGAAGGCGGCTTGTTGCAGTGCAAGGCACTGGCCCCTGGGAAGAAGCAAATCCCTTGCAGCCACCCAAGGAAGGACTGTAGCAGCCCCTGAGCAAGGAGGCAGGCAGCAGACGCCATGCTGAATAACCTGACGGACTGCGAGGATGGTGACGGGGGTGCAAATCAAGGTAAGAAGAGCAGCCCTTGGAGGGGGCAGGGGAGCAGCAGCGCTGAAGAGAGAGTTGGGGGGCAAGGGGGCAGCCTTCCCCCTGCCCGGGCACGGCAGGATTGGCCCCACATGCTGTTCGGATGAGCAGCAAAGCCATAGCCACGGGGATGTGGACAGGAATGTCGCGTTCACCGCTGTGCGTGGCAGCAGAGGCAGCTTGCACCCGATCCAGGCGCGGGGAGCTGGAGGTCGTGC